CCTTCAGCCCGTGACCTGGAAACCGATCGTACTCCGCCATCTTGAAGGACATCTCAATTCTCTAATTACACCACGAGGAGTCGAGGAATGAGAAGCGAGGAAGCTTCCTGAGTCATGAGTGTGGATACACAGATGCATCCTAAAGTAGAGCTAAGGCGTGAGGGAAGGAAACAACTCGAGGATGCACAAATAAGAAATGAGAAGCACCCACCATGTGACCCCCCTCTCTGACCTCTGATCCCACTGAATCTTTAGCTTTTTGATTTGAAGTAAACAGCAGCATTTCTGGATGGCAAACCGAGGTGTCTGCACTGTGAAGATACCACTACCGGTATTCCCCACAGGAAGACTGGTAGACCACATGTTGTTCGCAATAGATTTAGTTCTGAGTAAAATAGGCATTTATAAAAGTTGACACATTTTTGCAATTTCTGAAGAAAGTGTTGGTAAAAATATTGATTTTGTAATTAATCGCAATCTTCATTAGAACATTACTAATTAATATTTTACCTTACCTGTTTTAAATGGCTGTGTGAAAATCCTGTCCTGCAGGTGTTATTGCATTCTGCTCAATTATGTTGTGAATGTGAATTTGCAATCTGTATTGAATGCGACGTGTTGAAGTGCATGTGCTGCGAATAATCAAAAAACATCTTTCTATTGCGGTTTCTGTAGAAGCTGCAATTAAAAACAAACACACAAATCGACCAGTTTAGTTTGATTCACAAACAGGTGACTCTTATACAGTTGTTCTTTTTAATGAATCGAAAACATTTGATTTAAACGTATAATAACAGCATTAGGATTAAAGTTAAATTTAGATTAAAGTTAATAAAGTTATTCAGTCAAGATCAGTGAGTGATTTTTCTTCAAGATGTCTTGCCTATGTCTGCATGCTGCCGCAACGCGTTTTACATTAATTCAATCAAAATTAATGATCATTTTTGGCTTCAATATCTTGTGGAAAAGAGATATTACGCAGTACTCGTTCCTTCTTCTAGAGAGAACCGAGGTTATAGTAACCAAGTACGTTTTCCTTCCCTCTATTCTTAGGAGGAAGTCATTTCACAGGGATTTCTCTCTCTTTGTCTAAACCACCTAGAACATTGCTATCTTTGTCAGGTGGTTAGTTCATTCAAAATAAAAAAATAAAAATTGTCAAGCTGACAATGTTTCAACAAATTACTATCAAATGCAATAGATAAGCTATTTTTCGATCACTCTCTCAATCTGTGCACCCATAAACAAGCTCACGCTTGTATGAAGCGACATCCGTCGACACGGAGGAGGTATTGTTCCAAAAAACACGTGTTAGTTAAACTTTTTGCCATCATTTCCTGCTTTCAGCCTGTCAGGATACAAGTATTTCCTGTGCTGGGACAACCATGAAACCCTTCAATTTATGCCACATCCCACTCCAAATATAATCTCCTCTGGCAGTTAATATAATTCCCCTCCTCCATGGTTAGGAATAAATTGCTGGCTTTTATGGGAAAACGCTCATTGTGCCCTAACAGCAGATATTTTATATGTGAGCTAATGAAACAAAAGCATATTTATTGCCATCTTAAGATTAAAGGTTTAACTAAATGTGATCATCCCTCTTCAGACATTAAATTATAGCCTAATACAATGATTTTTTTAAAGGGCTTTTGAGACGATTTTTATGAGTCATTTTCACCATTTTTAATTAAGTTTGATGTTTCATTTTGATGGCAGTAAATGTTTGTGTGTGAAATCGCTGCAGGAAAAAGCTAAAATTCAAGACTGAATGTGACATTTACCATTTCATTTCTTTTCATTTCAGCCTTCATTTCGTGTCAGTGCACTACATACATATACATATACATTTATTTGATTCAATTTTATAATAATTTTGTAATAAATTTCTACTAATATTGTGAAATATTACTGTTGTGAAGTTGCACACCTGTCTATGTGGTATTGGCTATATGTGTATACACGTGCGTGTGTGTGTGTATGTATGTATGTGTGTATATATATATATATATATACTGTATATGAAGAGTTCAGATGCAAAAGCCTCTAAATGCCATTTGAAATTTTCTTCTAGAATGATGATTTTTATCAAGCTTGTATATTTCAGGTCAGTAATTTCACTTAAATGGCAATTAATAGGTAATCTTCATTGCCATTTAAGTGAAATTACTGAACTTAAATATACAAGTTTGATAAAAATGATCATTCTAGAAGAAAATTTCAGATGGCACTTAGAGGCTTTTGCATCTGAACTCTTCATATATATATATATACTGTATACAGAATATGTGTGTGTGTGTGTGTGTGTGTGTGTGTGTGTGTGTGTGTGTGTGTGTGTGTGTGTGTGTGTGTGTGTATGTGTATATATGAAGAGTTCAGATGCAAAAGCCTCTAAATGCCATTTGAAATTTTCTTCTTTAATGATGATTTTTATCAAACTTGTATATTTAAGTTCAGTAATTTCACTTAAATAACAATTAATAGGTAATTATCATTGCCATTGAAGTGAAATTACTGAACTTAAATATACAACTTTGATAAAAATCATAATTAAAGAAGAAAATTTCAAATGGCATTTAGAGGCTTTTGCATCTGAACTCTTCATATATATATATATATATATATATATATGATTATGTACAGTATTACATTATTTTATGTAGATTTATATAATTTAAATATTATATTTGTATGCCTTTGGAGTATCATGTGGGAAATGATTATATTAATTATTCAATACCAAAGCAGGCTATATCAAAGTGCAATGAAATTATAATTTGACGCACACTATAATCACAGTAGTTTTGTGTAAGGGTAGAAAGTGGAATCATGGGAAATTCCTTGTGCCCATGCCCTCTGCAATAATGTTTGCTTACATCCCAAAATGTAGTCTTAAGGGAAAATCCAAGCTTGTTTACTATCACATCAAGGGGATCGCAAGAGCATGTTGTGCACAACAAAATATTGTTTTCCTGTCCCCAGCCACACGAGAGTCCTGTAAATTCCTGATTATCTTCTGCTATCACTTCCTTAATTAAGTGACCTTTTGTTCGTTAGCATCAGTTACAGTGGTTTAGCCCTATTAAAGCAATAATCACATCAGTGGCATAATTTCCATTTAATCAACACACTAATTTTAGTACCATTGTCTCGGCGCACAAGGGCATGGGGACGTATTACATTAATAAACTTGGCATGGATGAATGTCTTCTCCGCCACCCAGACGATTCGACCCCTGTGCCAAGAGCAGGGATGGTGAATGGAGGGGGCTGGATATGCACATTAAGCTACTGACACAGATCCCGAGAGACCAAGCTGGAAATTTGCAGCCTGCAGAATTCCTTTTTTTTTTTTTTTTTTTTTTCTTCTCGTGATTAGCCTAGGTGAGATTATTCAGCAGTCACTGACACGTCTATTCCTACAAATTAACAATGCAATTAATTGGATTTAGGTCTACTCACAGTTGGCACCAGATGTGCCGTGTATCGGGGTGAGATGTAATACTGGCTTTGAGTGTGTGTCAGGAGTAAGGCTTGCATCAGGAGGTGGATGACGCATAAATATCACATTTGCTTTTGGTTTGAGGCGATGACAATGTGAATTTCAATTACCAGCATCAGCTATAATAGAGCGAAGCTGATGGAGGAAATCTCATTGGAAGACATTTACAAGGCTGCGAGAATGTGTGGCTAGAAGTACCTTTTCTTTCACATAATTACTCTCTAATTAACCATTAGTTATTCGATTAGCCCTTTTAATCCTTGAGTCATGGGTACGAGTTTCTAAATGGTGGCTTAGTCATTGGCAGCCCTGTGACGACTAATTAAAGGATGGGATGCTTTACACATCGAGTGGCCCGAAGAGAGAAGTTTGGGAGGGAGGGTCATTCATTTGTAATAAAAATCGAGGTATAAAAGGCATAGTTCTGGCTTGAATATCCGACTGGACGAGTCTTCAGTCATTGTAAAATGGCCTACATATAGGTCTTCTTTACTTGCTGGAAAAATAAGCTTTACTTGCTTCTTTACTCTGTATTTCAGGAATACATGCAGCAACCAGAAATTGCCTTCTTAAAGGAATTCTTTATACAAATTTAATTTAATTGTGTAATCAATTTATTATTTTTATTTTATTTATAATTAATTATTTTGATTTATTTATTGCCGTAAAGAAGGAGAAAATCGCTTTTTGTTTAAATTCAGATATACAACAATATCTATCTGCATAGTGCATACAATGCATTTTTAACCTTCTCAGTGCTTCTGTTGGTGATGGTCTTCGGCTTTCCAATTCCAATAAACCGTGGACACACACAAATTTTTATTTGAATCCAATGTGCACAGAGCCATTGTCACAAAGTGGTGATTTCTTGGACAAAAATTAAATTGTCTCTTAATGAGTCTTGACTATTTGAAAGCACTGCACCAAAGGTTATGAAAGGCTATGAAAAGACAGCGTCTCTCTCACCCGCTGTCAAAGTAATATTTCTTCTTTCTGGTGAAAGAAAACGTCAGTCTGAGGGTGTTCAGATTCTACCATTTATTACACTTATTACATTCTTAAATAAAAATGCTCCACTGAACAGTTCTTGCATAGATATCTTACAATACCAATTTAAAAAAGAATTATGAAACAGACCAGTAACAAAAATAAATTTCATCTTCTTCCTTAATAAAGAACATTACCATACTAACAATATATCATACAAATAATAATATTTTAAACACTTTGTACAGCAAAATAACCAATAAAGAAAAACACACAAGGAAAGAACATAAATTGAAAAAAAAAAAAAAAAAAAAAAAAAAAAAAACGGAGAGGAAGAGTGTGAAGATTACAGGGAGTGAGGGGGTGGAGTGTTAGTGATGTGGCGAGGGAAAGAGAGGACAGTGAATATGAGGGTCCCTGCTCTAGCGAGAAACTACATGCTTCAGCCTACATATGGCAAAATGTCGTCCTACTTCCATACAGATAAATCAAGATGGCACATAACTGTTCTGTTTTTTTTTTTTTTTCAGACTTGTACCCACTCTACCAACTGGAGCCCGTCTGAAAGATCCATGTTTGGATAAGAGAGAGAGAGAGAGCACCTGTAAAAGCTTTGAGGTCTGTTGTTGGCCGGTTGCTCCCTGGTTGGTGATGTCTAGGGACATTCATAGGTAAGAGATTGCTGACAGCTGGTAACATAACTGCAGGATGAAACTGAAGTGACGGCGCTTTCAGGAAGTGACTATGGTTCTGCAGGTGCAGGGTGGGATAGATGGGGTGGGAGGTGAAGAACACAAAAAAGCCAAAGGGAAAGACCTGGAGAAAACCTTACTTACTGACATATCAAGTTCGGACAAACACGGATACAGATGCGCTTCAAGATGCAGTATATCTCAAGTCAAACGAGTCCTTTAGAGTTCTCATCTCTGTTTGCGAGTGACTGGAAACTATATGGATGAGTATTTGAGTGTATACGCAGTAAAAGACAATTAATGTTGTGCCATGAACCTACAAGCTTTATCTAATAAGCTGAAGTATGAATCATTCCGATGATCTTGTGATAAGTGCATCTTGAAATGCCACTAAATGTTATGTAGACAATCGACAGCAGTGTCATTTAAACAGACTAAGCTAGCGGTAACAATGACGTGTGTTAGTTATGCAGTGAAATGTTCCAATACGGACAATAAAAATGAAAAGTTGTCACCTCTGACCATTTATCATAAAACCCCCTTGTGACGTTTTAAGCATTTTTTTTTTTTTTTGTATAAAATTTAAGCTGCCAAAAGTCTCTTTGAAGCAACAAAGCAAACGGCTTGGGAAAGGAGCTTCACCGAAAGAGTTCCCATATCTAGTACACTTAAAATTTGTTCCCTCAGAATGTTTTCAAACATTCTTACTGTCGTGTAAAACACTCAGCCACAGCATTATCTCCATACGGATAACTCGCAGTAGGTAAGGTGGTCTTCTGTACAGTTAAAATCGTGTTCGAATTACGTAAGCGATCGTTTTAAAAACGATCGCCTGGATGGTGATTTCTAAAGACATGCGTGACCTGCACTAGAACCGATGCGACTAATTCGCTGTTTCAATTTCAAGGCTAGGTTCTAAACTCATCCTCAACTTTGCATTCAAACCATATTTTACAAGCACACACACTCAAGACCAAGCCAATGATCACCTAGACATTAAAGAACAAATCATAGGAAGCTGGTGAAGGGCAGATACTGTGAGAAGACTAAATTCTTCTTTCTCTCATTCAACACCCAGCAGTTTATTTGCAAATGCGTAATTCTTTGGGCAAAGTATTCATCAGACGCCTGTGCAATTGACTGGACTGCTGCTGTAGTTCTATGAGTGAGATATCGGGGTTTTAAATGGCACTTGATATGTGAGGCGATATGTATGGCATGTTGCCTGCTAATGAATCTGATTGGCCTATTACATATTCATTTAGTAACGTCTGGAGCATGTTGGCAAAAGAAGGGATTTTTTGTTTGCAATTTTGCATTTAACATTGCTTTGCACTGTGTTTAAACTGACATTATTTATATGTATACCTTAAGTGTTAATTTGAAGACTGGCTTCATTGTCTGTCAGTGTCAAAGAAAATGATATGACACGTTTTTTGGTCTCTGCATTCCTTCTGTTATATCCCATATGGTGACTAAAGGAATAAGTGGAATCGTCGCTGTAGGGAGCAAAAACAGGAGAGCAGAGCATTGTGTAACAAATGTAGCTTTTCACCACTTGAGTAAAACGGAAATTTAACTTTTTAGTTGATGTAACGTAGAATGCTGTACACCGTCGACAGTTGCCCCATTTGTGGAATTGTGGGACTTTGGACAATGTTTACATGACACAATACATCCTGCTCGCTTGCTTTACAGAAACTCATACATACAATCGTCACATATACGGGCCGCTTCTTGCGGAAAAAAGTGCCACGAACCACAACTGATTGTACATAAATGGAGATGAACCAATTCATCCCCTATTTTGTCAAAAATTTGGCATGACTGCATTTTAATGGAGAAAATGACTTGGAAATAAAAGGAAATCAATTGAAAATGGTAACTGAAATCAAACGTGTAGTTGTGGTCAAACCGAAGTGATGGTGTGTGTGTAAGTCTGTGTATGTGTGTCTATGTGTGATAGAAGAGCTGCCTTCAGCAGGACTCAAACCAAGAGAAAGGCACCAACCCTTCAGTCTTAGGCAGTTCTGCACTGAGAGTCACGGTATCAAACATTAAGTTCAGTAAGTCCCCTGAGGGATACTCTGGGATTGTTTAGTAGAGTCTGTGATGACTCCGAACATGTTACCGCTGAATCATAATGGCTTTCAATCTCCCCTCCACCCTTGCAGCCAATAAATCAATGCAGAAGAGGAGGGTCGGCAGGGTAACGCCCTGATTGTGACGCCATGACAGGCTTCACAACCTTGGGAACGATGATATATATTTTTTTGCCCACTATTTGGAAGCTGATTGTTAACACAGAGCTAGACCTAGGCCCGGTTTAGCATAATTTACTCGGGTGTATCAACAAGTTCTCGATTTATCGTCTGACGTCTGGATGGAACGCAATCCTACAAAACAACAATTGCTAAAACCCTGCTGTGAAGATTTCGGTGCAAAAACAAATAATGCTGAGAGGCAAGCTGCGCATGTATGTGTGCGAGTGTGTGTGTGTGTCTGTCTGAAAGAGGCTGCCATGCAGTGTTTCGTTTTAATGCTGTTCATTAACTTGGTAATTATTGTTCTGCTTTTTTTCTTCTTGCGTTTTTCTCAGGAAAAAGCCAAGAGCAATGAAACCATTCTGTCTGCATTGTGGTGTGTGTCTGTGTGAAATTGTTTTTTTTTTTAATGTATTTTTTGTTGTTGTTGTTTTCTGCTTTTTTCCCTCCAAGTTGTTTTTTGTTTTTATGCTTTTTTTGTTTTGTTTTTGAGCTTTTTTTTTGACTGTATGAAAAAAAGCACAGATAACATTGAAAAAAATCAGTGCAGACAATGGATACGAAACAGGCAAAGTTTGTCTGGGCTGATACCACTGAGTTCTCTTGGATCCTTATCCCAGCAGGTGCTCCAGTCTGAGAGTCAAACATCCTGCCAGCTGTCCCTCCCCGCCATAACGTCTCCTCCGTTGGTCTCCTCCAGTGCACCGGACTATGTTCTTACATGGGTGCCAGTATCAACACAAAGCAAAAGAACTCTTTCCAGTGTCACAAAAGGTCCGTGACGACGCACTCTGGTTCACTTTTACCGGATCAAGTCTGAGCAAAGCTAAATGAAAAATAGAAGACTTCTGTCCTTTCATACCAAGCCAGCAGTTTCAAACTTTTCTGGGGGTTTCTGTTCCTGTCTTATGCTTCCAATGTTACATTTCAGTGCCAGATAGCAGCCACTGAACCTTGTGCATACTGAGAAGGGCTCACAGTTCCCTACCGTTGCCCGTATGTGCACATTTATGCTTGTTCACAAAGTTAGTTTTCACTTTTCAGAAGTTTAAGACATTTCAGCACAGAAGGAAAACAAACCATCTTTTTTAACAGTCTTAAAAAAAAAAACAAAGGCAAGAAAGTGTCGCTGCGCATCATTTCGGTCGCCCGTGAGGTGACGGGCGTGAAGAGCAGAGAAGAGTTCGCTCCTGAGCGAAAGAGTACAAGAAATCAGCACACATCCTGAGCGTTGCCGTATTTTTTGTTTTTCATTTTTCCCGTGCAGAGACTGCTTCGGGGGCCGCTACTTCCATTGGTCACTCCTCCGAACGTATTGGCAATGTTGTTTTCCGTGTTTGGTTGCTTGCTTTATACGACATAGCTGCAGGTTGGTAATTGTGAAGAAAAGGGAAGTTCCAGAATGTACAATGATCGTTGATTCTCTAGTAGAATTATGTTACGTGATGAATGACATGTGCGTTTCAGTTTTGTACATGTAGCTATCAGTTTACTGTCCCATGCTATTGGTAAGTTACTGTACAAAAAGAGAATGAGGAAAAAAAAAAAGGTGGTGTTTGGCAGTGTCTGACCTCCAAGCTAACGCTCAGTAAGGCATGGCTAATCGCTGATGAAAAGGCTTTTGTACTGTCTTGAGAGTGTGTAGAATCCAACAACGCTTGCCCACGCTGCCTCGCATGTTCCTCCTGGTGACGTTTGCGGCCAGACCCCTCGAGTGCACCCAAAGTCTGTTGTGAATGTTCCTGAATGGGCGGTGCACACATGTTCTTCTCTTCGTTCTCACTCTTTTTCTCTCACTCTCTCTCTTCCGTCCCCCTCGGCCTCAGATATGTCGCTTCATGTGCAGAGCCAAGTGATCAGACCTGGAAAAACATCTGTAAAGAGAGAAAGAGAGAGTTAGCTTGGAATCACTTAAGAGACGTGTTTATGATTGTGCTAAAGAGGGCCACGATCTAAGTTTCTGGGAAGATGTGTGGCAGCTTTGCAGATGGAACAGAGAAAACAACATTTGGCGTTTGGGAAAAAAAAAAGAATTTTTAAGGATAGCCAGCTTTTTGCTCTAAAACTGGTGACAGATCGTTTTGAACGCATAGCTTGCCAATGCAGTTACCAGTAAAGTCTGTGCTGAGCCTTGCACAATAAATATATTTTTGGGAGTGCGACCACAAATCACAGGGAGCCCATTTGAATTAGGAAATTATTTCGAGGCTGGAGGTAAAATGGTATTGTTTAAACTCTGCGACAGCATTAGTTATGTAGCACTTGAGTCATAGCGGTTGGTTTCTCGTAGTGGGCCATGGGCTTTTTTGTGTCATCATCAATTAAGCTCACATGTAACCACTGCTGTTAGGAGCAATACATAACCATGCTTAGAAAATACAGTGTTGCGATGCCATTTCTTCTCTACATTTATATGGCTATGAGGATTACTGTATTACAGCCAAACAAGTGTTGAAAGTGAATCTTAACTGGAATAAATAAAAACTTGTAGAGTTTTAGAAGTAGAGAATTATAATTTCAGTTTGCCTCTGGCTGTATCCATTATTAATTAGTCGAGAGCCACAGTGTTAAATCCGCTGTTGCTTTTTGGATGGGAAGCAGCCAAGATGCAAAATGGGGTGGGAGGAGGGTTTGTATACAGGTAGACACAGTTGGTTTTTCTACAACATATCTCAGTCTGACAGTTTCTGGTTCTCCCCAGTTGCTTCGCAGAATTCTGTTCTGAACAAATGAACAATCATTCTCTTTGTATTTTCTATCTTTCTCTGTTTGGTCCTTTTAAGGAAAATCTTTCAAATGGTCTTCCAATGATCAGTCATACCTGTATGCCCAATGAGGCCTTAAGGTCTATAGAAGGCAACAGCTGGGTTTTAGAAGTAACAATCACATTCATTTTTTCCATTAATTTTTTTTAATGATTCCAGAAACCTTTCAAGACAGACCTACCATGATCTTTGAAGAAGAAAAAAAAGCTCAAATATTCCAATTAATTGACATACTGTATTATGTGGAAACCAATTACAAATCAACATTTTGTTGCCATGCACAGTGCTTCATGGGAGATTGTAGTCCATTTCCTCATTAAAAAAAAAAAAACAAACAAAAAAAAAAAACATATAAATGTGTCCCCCGCCATGCTTATATATTTACTTCAAATTAAAATGTGTAATTTTGTGATTTGTCTCTCTTTGTTTTTATTGAGGATTTTTTTTGTTTGTTTCTTTAATTGGGGAAAAGTATTCAGAACGAGGGCAACTGAAAATACTTTTTCCATTGCATTGACCTTTTTTAATGACAAAATAAGCACATACGTATACCGGACCATTTCCAGCACCCTAGCAGCAAGTTTTCTTTATTTATTTTATTGTTTAGTAAAATACAGCTAGACTGCAGTATTGACCAATCATCATCTGTGGATTTGCATTATGTGAATGAAATGTATACATTTCACTTTTGTTCAGGTATGTGAATTGTTTTGCAGAGCATGATATGGCTTGTACATTACACAGAGTTAAATTTTTGTTTGTGATTTGCATTGATCTAGGTGTAAATATGCGTGTGTGGAGGTAGGGTAGAGCGACTGGACAGATGGTCCTGTGACTCACTGTAAGTGGCTGCTACACCAGCTGGCACACCCTTAGATCTCATAACCCCTCCCCCCACCTCTCACTCAACCCCTCTCAACACCCAACAGGGGGCTGTGCTTGATTAGGCAGGATTAATGATGCCCAATACACGTGTGTGTGTGTGTGTGTGTGTGTGACTGTGAGACAGTATGACTGTGTGTGTTGGTTGACTGTATTTACTGTTAGACTGCCCTTGACTGTAGCTTCTCATAACCCATTGTGATGGTAACACACTCTGTGTAATTACACCTAACTGAGAGAAATACCATGGCTCATGCTGTTCCAAATCTTGTTTTAACTTCGAGATAATGTGAAAAAATGTTAAGCCCTTTAAAAAAAGAGTTAAATATAGCCTAAAAGTTACCTAAGGTTGATATCAGTAATTTTAGTCAGCACTGGTTTTTAATTTAACTCTTAAAACTTAATTCTTAAACACTGTTGTGGACTTGAGCAAGACTCTTATTCTCAGGTTGCCTCAGAGTAACTATCTGCAACTTAAGACGGATGCACATGTCTGGCACTGTGCCAAAAATCATGGAAGAAATGCTATATTATGCATTTACTGTTCTATTCTAATATCTAATGGTGTTGCCACATGACTGCAGCTGCCTTTGTTTAGTAAGACAATTTAAAAACAATTAAAACAAAATTCTGTAATAGGACTCGTCCTGAACTGACTGCTGACTGGAGGCAGTGCCAGAGAAGAGGTCAGTTGGAAAATTGAAGACCGTAATGGGCAGCCGCAGTTTTGCACACCTTTTCAACAGTGTACACTCAGAATCACCTTTAGCCCCTGGCTTATTCCATCCAGATTCGCATCCTTTCTGGCATCAGACAATAGATACGGTCTCCTTCTGCCATTGCTACACATTATTCTTTATTGTTATCCCAGTCAAGAGTAATAATGCTGCAGGAGGACACTTTCACATTCCAGCAACATCACTGTTCACATTTGAAATAGTTTTTTTTTTTTCATTCTTTATACACCCATAATTCAATGCACAAACAAAAATGGATGTGCTTCCCTGAAAGGTTCTTCAAGATTTACTATTAAAAGTGAATAACAGGAGGGCTCAATTTATAAATGCTTATTCCCAGGGAATGATGGGGATCTGAGAGTGGGATTCTGCAGCGGAACTAAATTGCTTAGGCTAGAGTTCAACTTCAGAAGATGCCCTTGTTTATAACTGACATCAGGGAGAAAGAATTGTCAATGTAGATTTGCTTAACCAAGCCAGCTCCACCTCCTTTTGTCATGCAATAGCTGCCAAAATCTGAGTAATGAGTGTAGGGACACAGATTTCCCCATGCCTTCCCCCAGAGAGTTCATGTGCTTGGCTGAGCCTGAGGGAAAACGGCGCTGTTCAGGTGTCGGCAGCAGTCTGCAGAACAGAGGCCTTCCCAGCCGCAACTTGTCCGCTGGGATTGGTGAAGTTCATTGTGATGGAGCAGCAGAGAAATGTTCAATGGACAACTTTCAAAAGGCTGCAGCAAGGTTGGTTTGATGCCGACGGCGAGACAGGAAGCCGTGTCTAATTGTGCTTCCACCTGGAGCTGGCTCAGTGGGCACGCGGCCTCCACTGTGTAATTGCTGCCCGCATGCCAGGCCCGAGTGACAGCTTCCTAATACTGTCACCTGACAGGCTATCACTCTTTCTCTCCATGCTAATGCAAATCTCCCTTTTTCTCTGCTGTTTCTGTGTCTCTTCACATCTTTATCATCAACGCCATGACACATTCACCATGCTGCCTCTGCATCACATGTGTGTGTGTGCATGTGCGCTTAACTTTCTTCTAGAGCTGTTGTACAGCCAAAATAATCTTTGTTCCATTAATTTACAATTATCATTGTAAAACTTCTTGCACATAATCTGTAATTGTAAAAAAAAGCTATATAAATGAAGGTGTAAGATTTAAACACTAGTGCCACTAGCATAACTAAACAAAATTACAAAATTTACTATTTTCAAGCAGGTTTGGTCAGAAAAAAGCGATCGCTGCCCTAAACCGTTTCAGTCAACCCGGGCAACCATCCAGGCAAGTACATAATTTTTTTTCGGACACATCAATTCTAATTGTGCATACTTTAAAATAGTGGTTATCAACTTGTGGGTCCCATGGTACATTAAGCCATGACCCATTTATATATACATATATAGTTATATATAGTTATTTAAATGAACTGGTAATAAAACAGATGGAAACTGCTCCTGATTAATAGAATGAACTGCATGCAAATCCTTCCCAACTAAAACACACGACGTGCTAGATACGTGGTTTATTGGTCCTTTACTTTTATTTCATGACTTACAATATATGTCAACATTGTTATGTTGTTAATTGTTAAATGTGGCGATGATGAAATAAAATTAAGGTACCAATAAACCAAGTAACTGGCACGTTGTGCTTTATTTGGGAAGAATTTGCATGTGCTGTAGTTCATTATATTCACCAAACTCATCAAATATGCTGTGTCTTTCCTCTGTAGCTCTGCATCCATTTCTCCCTGTGTCTCTACCCAGCTCTTTTATATACTGTTGTATAACTCTCTTACCTTGGAATGCACACCCATGCCTTTAACTTCTCTTTCTCCCTGCACTGCACTCAAGCCACAGTGTGTGAATATGCTGTACCGAAGGGAGGATGGAGGAAAGTGGAACAGGATGCGAACATGAGATATTCACAGTAATTCAGTAATGGGTATCACAGGACCAGACTGTGAATGAGTTATTCAGCAGGGAACTGGGCCTGTACTAACTTCCAATGAGCCTGATGCAGTTTGGTATGTGCATGCCATTAGAGAGAATTTAAGAAAACAAGAGCGAAGGGAGGGTTCTGTTTGAGGGAGAGAGTTTGGTCTTCTAGTCTAATAGCTAAAGGAATTTGTTTATGGACACTTGAGGACTGTGGACTAGTGAATGTGTAGGAGTTTTAAAGAAATAATAGAGTGTTAAATGAGCATATGCATTTATTGCGAGCTATCTTTGCAGCATTTGCAGTGTCTCTTACCTGTCGCAGTGGTTGCACTTGAAAGGTTTGGCACCAGTGTGTTTGCGGTAGTGCCTTGTCAGTTCGTCGCTTCGTGCGAAACGCCATTCACAGCCTTCCCAGGAGCATTTGTAAGGCTTCTCACCTGCATGCACAAACACACATCATTTAATCCATGCTTTACCATTCACACACACCTGTACACAGATGGTGCACCTCTGGAGCGAGGCAGCCACTGTGCCACTGTGAGCACCGCCAGCAGTTCCATTATCAACATCATTCATTACTGTTTCTCTCAATCACACAACCCAGCCAGCCAATCAAACTGCTGCTTTTTCTCCCAGTCGACCAATCGCATGTGTGTAGTCCAAACCTCCTGTATTCTCAATAGTAAAAAATTTTGCTTTCTCAGGCAATATATAGAGGTGATCGTTTTCAGACACCAAAATTGATTTGATCAGAGTCATTTTCCACCTGTTTTTAAATTAAAGTGGGGCTGCTTAAATGTGCTCAGTCACCATAACAGAATGAATTCATAACCCAAAGTCAAGTATCCAAAATGAAGCCATTTGTGCTAAATGTTCTTCACCCTCCCATTGAGCTCTGAAATTCAAATGAAGTTAAACAGATGGGAAAGGAGATACCAATTGTTCCACATGCTATATTTTTATGCCTCAAATTCAAAATATGGCCTTGAGTGAGGGAGGAAGGGGGGTTTCAACACCCGAAAAAAGGGTCCCGGCACAGTGACAGTGCTCTCTGGGAACAGAAATGGATTCAGCCTGGGGCCTGGGTGGGAATGGGGAGGGTGTTGATGGCATGGATACAGATCTGGAGGTGGTAATGATAATTGGGGTCTTAATGACGCTTAATGGGAAACAATGCCATATTCACAGTGCAAGAACTGCCAGCTACTCCAGCAAACGCTGTGTGCACCAATCTTCCTAACCAGAATAAAGTGTCTGTTTCGCCATTGGAAAAAAGTTCACTAAATTGGTTCCGACCACGTCTAAACTCACTAAGTAGGGATGGTCAAATGTAATGTAATTAAAAAAAAATAGTTTAGGTAGTTAAAGGTAGGTTAGATAGGCAGACTAGATAGATAGACCGATAAATTGATGGATAGATTAACAGATAGACAGATGATTGCCAGACAGATGCAGTTGGCAGGTTATTGATTTTTGATTATTAATGGTTAATCAATGAATGATTAATCATTAACAATCCTACAGAACCTGCCTTACTTGAAAGACTATACAAGCAAGTTTAAACTATTATGGACCAACATAGAATTTCATGCTGTTTTATGCTAGTCTTTCAGCAAGGATGTGCCTGTGGACCTCCACGATTGACTCTGGAAACTGATGAAGAAAATCATAGAGGGAATGGAAATGACTACAGGCTGTTATTTTCTTTTTTCCTTTTGTAAGGAAAATATGATCCAGTTAGATGTGGGGAAAGTGGAAGGTGTTCGCTTTCCAATATTTCATACCCCCAAAAATGTATGCTGTTGAAATGAGCACACTGTTACTGTTATGAAATCAAAGTATGCTCATCTATTTATCCTGTCTCGTTTTTTAGCTTTATGATGCAAGATGATGTAACGGGTGACATAATGTTGGATTTACCACTACGTTGCTCAGTCTGTCCTGAAAGTCTGTTATGATGCAACATAAAGAATGACACGGCAATGGCGATGAGGAAAACGAATCGTAAGAGGCCTGACCAATTCCTCTTTCCATTCCCCATAAAAATATTTCTTGACTTCCGATGACAAATAGAATAGGATTTTTTAAATATAATACAATGTACTTGGCCTTTTTTTCTCTTTTCACCTCTGGAAATATTGCAAACAAGAAGCGGGTCTTCTTTGACATCTCTCATCTTTCTCTGCCAGGCAAGATGCGCACAGACAAACAGTAGGTCAAAGTGCCTTGAGGTTTATTTTATTATGTTTGCCTGTCCTTGAGCTTTTTCAATTTATAAAATCAGTTGGAGCAAATATTGCCACGTCTGCTCTTGTGTCTGTGACTGCTACAAGTGTGCAGGAAGAGCATCTCTGTGTCATTTGGAGAGTGGCTGGCCGCAGGTGTGAGACGGCAAACGTTTCGCACTACACTCACAATAATTGGCCAAAGACCCCCTCGCGCTCGCTCTCCCTCCTTATGCCGTAGCCCCCTTCCTCCATCTCTTTATTTCGTTCCCTCTCTTGCTGTCTGACAGCAGCGAGGCAGGCTTGGACCTGCAACCACGGCAACCATAACGCAGGCCAATTATAACTTGGAGAGTCACGGATGCATGATGGAGTCGCCTAGCAACCAGCCAAGAGAGGGAGAGAGAGAGTGTTAAAAGGAGAGAAGAGACAGAGAAAGAGCCATTCAGTCGGTATGCAACCTATGGACACTCAATACCAACCAATTATTGCTTGCTTTAGATATGGATGATGTAGTTGCCTGGCAACCCCAACTGTACCCAAAGAGGGTAGGGGAAAGGTGGGATTGATTTGGCATATTGGAGCTTCAATTGGTATAGAGCTGCAAATAATCAACCTATTACAGTCTTTTGATATGGTTTCCTAGCAACAGATCCCCTCCAAAACGGCAAGCTCCTTCCCTCGCACCAGTGTCCTAGGTGTGTACGGTGTGGTTAATTACATTTCCTCAAGACAGATCGCTGGTAAGCTATTTTTGTCTCAGAAGTTTAGATTTCAGACGTAAGGCCCAATTATCATCCATTCATTTCGGCTTCTCCAGTGGCTTATGTTGCATTTCAAAATGAGCTCTCTGATTGTAACCCATTTTAACCTCCAAATCCCATTCAGCGATGTTCTATTAACTTTAGTAAACATTGTTGACAAAGCAAAGTTGGACCATGTCATTGCCACTAGGCTCCACGTCTGCATTTATGAGTGCAAATGAATGTGGAAAAAATACTTCTAGCAACTTCTGACACCCGATCAGAAGTATTGGTGTATATTGATACAATACAACTCCCTAATGCAATTAAAACAAAATAAAAGCTCCCCAATGAATCTAACCTTAAATCCAAATCAACAGAGATCCCTTTCTCATCAGAATAATGGGAATCATAATGTGAAATTATATCTGATTTGTAATTTGGTCATGTCGATGTTCCTAGGTAGCCCTTTTTTTGGATTCTCACCAACTGATTGATGCATGTTTAACAACATCTGTCTTTCAGCCAATAAGGTAAGCCTACTGTTCAACATTTAATAATGTTTATATATATATATATATATATATATATATATATATATATATATATATATATATATATATATATATATATATATATATATAAATATATACATAAGGGCATCAGCCAACCCTGTAACTGTTTTATGCCATTTCTCAGGTTTTCTTAAATATTCCAAAAAAATAATATAATATAAATAAATAAATAAATAAATAAAATTTCCCCCCTGAATTTTGTAGAATGCTTAATTCACTTTCCAGGGCCATGAGTGCTCCTAAACCAAAAATATTAGCATAGAGTACTGTAGCAAGTAGGCTTCTATTAAATCCTCTTGTAATTTTAATCTCCCTGTTTTAGTAATCTACGGAAATGATAACTGAAAGTGCAGGATTAAGCTAATTAAAAGAATAATCTGTCTTGTCATAAACACATTATGTGATGAGCTATAGCAAGCCAAAACATTTTTCCGGCTATTGCTTATTTCCCCCGATCTTCAAAAGCACCATCTATACGTTAGAATAAGCCTAAAAGCGATTAACACCACCAGCTCTCACAGAAACCTGCCGAGTCAACAGCTGGCCACAGGGGACAGATACACTGTATTGAGGCCACTGTCACAGTAGGTTTCGGGGCCATGGCAGAGTGCAACACGCTCTCAGGTTCAGCGAGAGGGCAGCAACTACGGCACCAGAGCGTGTGAGCTCGAATTAGCTGGCAAACAAGATTCAGCCCAGTCAGTCTATCAATCTTCTTGCAATTACTGACTGCACTGGCAGGTTTTGAATGGCGTGGCTGGGCTCATTTTAGTTTGAGGTTAAGGTGCAGTAGAGAGAACAGATATTTTGCTTTGGGGCTGTGTAGCAAAAATCGAGTTGGCTTCACAAGATCTCTTGTGACCCTTCTATAGTATTTTCTGACTCTGAAAACTTCATCTTTTCACATGCAGAGTTAGACTTGCTATACCAGAAGCCTTTCTCCAGGAAAGCTAAAACATGTTATAGGAGCATTTAATCACCTGTATGTGTCCTCTGGTGAGCCTTTAGGTGGGAGCTTTTTGTGTAAACCTTCCTACAGCCATTAAACTGGCAACGATGGACCCTCTTTTTGTTTTCCGGGATGTCCCCTCCGCCTACTGTTCCCAGGCTTCCTTCACCGTCGCTCTGTGCCCCGCGATTTGGTGGCGAAGGTAGCGAATGTGTCGCTACTAACTTTGCTGCCCCAAGTCCCACTTTCTTGGCCACCAGTTTCAGCGTGAGCGTGCCATCAGCTGTGGCGGTAAGAGTCTGCGTGGGTTTCACAAGATGGCGTCCCAACTCCGGGGAGGAAGGTGGTGTGAGGGATGTGACTGCGTTTAGCTGGGCGGGATTAACCCCTCCACTGACTTCTTTTAGCCCTGCGTCGGTACTCTTGGCGTTGGTAGGGGCATGGAGGTTTTTGGGAAGGGATACCAGAAGAGGTGGGGGTCTGGGCTCGTCGGATAAATTGGGCAGCAGAGGGTCCAGCAGGTCCTCGTCGCTGTCTCCCCTCATGAAGGCTGGCGTAAGGAGGCAGTCAAGCTCCTCGTCGAAGAGCTCCGAAAGCCTTTTGGGCTCTGTCTGTAGGTACCTCTCCAGTTCGAGACATGTCTGCAGGAGAAACAGAAATGCATAAACATGAGTACGCCTTTGAATACTCTTAAGTCCAGGGATTTTTATAAAGGGAAAGGTAACCGTCTGAAAAACCACATGGTAAGTGAAACACGTGGTGCATCAACACTTTTCCAGTTGGTGTTGGTTTAGTTGGTCGCACTGTTGAATGTGTAAACGACTGCATCTGCTACATAGAGACTTTCGCACAGAACATTTTTCGAGTGCAGCTGATGGGCAAAATGTTCTGGGAGAGAAGTTGGACATCCGTGGAATTTTTATTACACTTGCTGCGGTTGAGGGAATAGTATTTATCTATGTAGCGTAGGCTATTTTGTACGGTGCTTATTGAGCGAGAAATTACTGTCTTATTACTTAAGATACCTTTTCCCTCACTCTGTTTTTCCTCTGATGAATACTTTGGCAGACAGAGGGAGGACGGAAAAGAAAGACAGCACTATCATGGCTCACTGACTGCTCACTCAGCAGTTTCTTTTTCAGTGGTTTAACAATATTGTTCCCAAGTCACAGTGGCCAGTTTGGATATTAGAGAGTTCTGTTCAGTGTGTTGCGGTAAAAGCACTTTGGCAGTCAAATGGCAGTAAACCTTGCAGCTCTTTATTTCATGTCAGCTGTAAATTACACTTTCTGTACATCTCTTTTAGCTCAGACCAAAATAAATTGTCCAAAATTGTCCATGTATTCCAAATTGAATACATGAAAATATATTGGGTCCCTTTGAATGTCATAAACCCTTGTGCATGCAGGGATTTCTTTGAGGTTACAATTTCAGACTAAACACAGAAAATTATGAGATACATTTCTAATGCCATGCAATCCCAGCTACTGCTTAAGTGAAACATTGACTTGAATTTACTTGAAGCCAAATGGTTCCTGTGTACTTTCTCTGACCTCACTGGCGACACTGAAAGAAAGGCACTAATACTGTACCATTAGCTACAATTTGACTCATGTTATGCAATAAAGCAGAGCCTTCAACAAAAACTAAAATAACTGAAACACGGTCCACTGCAGCAGCTACAATTCACCACTGCAAGCTCTCCCCTTCAGCTCTCCATTCATTTATGATTCTGAGCACTACCTGAGAGTGCATGAATTATCCATGCACTGAAGCTTTTTTAGCCATGTTTTAGCATGCAGGAATTTAAGCAACCAAGAGAGACCATGCATCTATTGGAATTATTCCATTATTGTCCATTTTGTAGGCCTTATTACTTAGTAGATGGTCTGTGGACATACCCAACCTGCTTTGATCAGAACAGTGCAGCATATGTATACATTCTCTATGTAATGCAGCAATAAAGCAACATGCCATTGAGAGATGGCAGAGGGTTGAAAGAACTTGGAATAAGCATACTATATTTTTTTTACACACATCTGAGCAACTACATGAACGAAAAAGAAAGGAAAATGTAGATGAGATGATTTGACTCTTCTGGACTGGCTGCTGGTGTAGAAAGCCCCTTTATACCCTGCTTATATTGTGCACACTGAGCTCCATCTATTATAAATACAGTGCCAGGGGGTTTGCATGCAGCGCTAAGAGCCAATGTCAGACAAAGAGCGGGCAAAGAGAGGCGAGGGGGAGAATCGCAAAACTGTTATTAGCAAATGTGGATGCAGTCCAAGTTAGACACAAAGGGGAAATTATCGCCAATCTCAGAGTCAGTTCCTCTCGCTGTCTCCGCTCCCTGCTTGGATAATAAAGTCGGCACATTATCTAAACTAATGTGTTTATATCTCCACCCGCGTCTAACAAAACAGCTTTTTTTTTCTAACCCTCTCTATTTTTTGAGGTTGAAATTATGATGATTTTTCGCTCATACAAATAGATTTTAATTAAGCATTTTGGCTTTCATCAGATGTCGTTTGAAGTTCTACCTCTTGATGCAAAACCGATCTCTCTTCTGCGCTCCTCTCTCTCTCTCCACACAGCATGCGCTGATGACTAATTAGCCACTCAAACGACCCAGCAAAGAGAGGCTCTTTATTCAGTTAATTTGCTGATGGGAAGCCCAAGTGTGTATGTGTGCGTCTGTGTGCTTGTATGTGTGTAAGATGTAGTCACTAAGAACAACACTTGAGTTAAAAGTGCTGTATTTATATATTTATTTAAAAAAAAAAGAATTAGGACCGTAGCAAGCGCTGCAGCTAAACATTTCAAAAAGGGGTTTTAGAGTGTAATGCAATAAATAACATTTTAGTTTTTCATCCCTGCTGGAAAAGCCATCTTAAACCAGCCCAAGCATGTTCAGCTGATTTTACAGTCTGCACAATTTGTATTTCAATTTGGTTCACAATTCTAGTTTAGCAAGTCCCAAGCTGGTCTTCCAGGCAGCTGAAAAGTGCCCCAAATCCCGTGTAAAACAGCCATTAGGCTGGTTTGACCAGACTATAAGACCAGCAAACCACCTTAGGCTGGTTTGAGATGCTTTTTCAGTAGGAACAGGAGAACATACACAGGGCTCCAGACTAACTTTTCCACTGGTTGCACTGGTGCTACCAACTTTCTCAGTTGGTCGCACCAGCATATGATTTAGTTGCACTTTTTTTTTTCTTTTGCTACATGCCATGGGATTAATCAATGCATGCTGATAGTAGTCTTAATCTGCATACCATAGATTTGCATTGATGTAAAAAGACTGACAATGACACAAGACCTTATGTTAGCAAAAACATTTTAATCTTTTAACCAGTGTTGTAGTCGAGACCACCTCACTCGAGTCCGAGTCGACACCGAGACCAGAGAGAGTCGAGTCCGAGTCAAGACCGAGTCCATAGAGAGTCGAGTCCGAGTCGAGTCCGAGACCAGAGACGGTCGAGTCCGAGTCGAGACCGAGACCAGTGAGGGTTGATTATTTACTTTTATTTACTTAGAGAAATCCTTTTTTTTTTTTTTTTTTACTGAATTTACTTAGAGTTTAAAAAATATGATCAGTTTAGGGTAAAAAGGCCACATAGTAGGTGGTGTTAAAAGTAATTTTATTACAATTTGTCATGCGCAGTTGCGCACTAGAAAATCACCAATCACTGGGTGTGTCAATCAATTTAAAGAAATATTTTATTAACATACATTAATAATCATGAAAAATATTTTTAATTGAACTCGAGTGGACTCGGGAATAATTCCGAGTCCTAAAAAAAAAAATGTTCGAGTACGAGTCAATTCCGAGTCCAAATGGACACGAGTCCATGACAAGACCAAGACCATTAAAATATGGTCTCGAGACCGAGTCCAAGACGAGTCCGAGTCTCGAGTATTACAACACTGCTTTTAACTATCAAATCACAATATTCTAAAAAAATAAATAAAATAAATAAATAAAAAGTTCAAAGTAAAAAGATGGCTATGAAAAAATAGTGGTATTTAATTAAATGCATTTTTGTTGAGATTACAACATTTTATTTAATTAAATTAAGTTTTATGTAACAAAGTTCGGGAGGAGCATGTTCAGGTTCAGGAGCACGTTCAGGTAACCAATCAGCTCAAGATGAAGTATAAATAAAGCTTTTCCTCACCTCAGGTGTCTCAGCATCCCTCCACCACCCCATCACCTCACACTCGGCCAGGTCTACCCCAGTATAGGGATATTTTGCCCAAACCCAGAGTACTCAGAGTACTCCTGTAGATTTAATGTGTGAACTCGTGAAATGCATTTATGATAATTCATTGTCATGTAAATGTGTGCTCATTTTGACCACACACTATGCACTGTTAATTCAGCGTGTTTAGCACAGCAAAAATAGACTGTGTGTAAATGATCTCTGCACTGCTACGCACCGCAAAATATTGATCTTGACATTGTTAGCATCTTATTTTTTTTGTCGCACACTGTACATTTAACTTACACTGATTTAATTCCTAATTGGCATGTTTGTTTCACCATTAGTGTGCAATGCGCGTGACATGTACGTTCGTTAATGAATAAACTGCAAGTATTTTGCGGAAGAACATTGTAGCTCTCCATCAATGTCTATGGCGAGTCACACAGGCACTGGGCATCGTCGCAGCCGAGCCGACCCCGGGATAAAATTGTTAGAATATAAATACTTATTATAGGCGTACCGTAGTGATTCAGTATAAGTCAAAAACACGTTTTGGAAAATGGATTCATGATGTACTCGTTCATTTTGAACATACGGACTGCAACAGCTGCTGATACAATGGCGTTCTGTTGCGCATGCGTGAATTTAACAGAGTACATGACTATGCACTTGCACAAATGCGACCACATAAAATATTAACTCGCACATTCTCAAAAAATGGTTGCAGTCTGGAACCCTGAACCTAAATCAGTTCTATGGTTCTACTGGTGCTTCAAAGAACCCAGAAGAGTTTAATTTTTCCACTTTTCCACCAATATGCTGATCTAAAAGACCTATAATGTAACAGTCAGTTCCATTCAGCTCAAGAACCATGCATAGTCAATTGGAACCCAAGAAAATGGTTCTTTGATGCACCTAACAATTTAAAGATTGTTGGCTGTCATGCAGAAATATGAGCTGAACAGGAGTTCCTTCCTACAAAACCTGTCCTAAGCTCTGGCAATGTTTTGTTCCATGAAGCACAAGCGGTTTCAATGATCTTGTGATGAAATCTGTCTATATGACATAATTTCGTACCCTGCAGTGTTCATAACAATTTCCCAGGGTGCTGTGATTCCACCATGGCCATTAACACTTTTATGACCTAGCAAGATTGATATGCATCCTTCATGCATTGAAGGGCTTTTGGGCTGTTTGCACACCATGTGCATTTATCTATATTATTTCAAGTATTTTTTTAGGGATGGCTACTGCACGATTACCTCTGTAATGACACAACAATTACCCAGGAACCCCAATAGACGACTTGTGCCAAGGGACACACACTCGCCATCAACCTTAGGAAGTGTTTCGAAACTCTATAGCCCATAAGGACCTCCCTCCAGGATATGTCTATCCATGCACCGAGAGAGATACCAAGCCGCCAGCAAATT